CGGAAGGAGCCCAGCGTGGGCATAGGCACAAAGCCCCAGTGGGGTGTAGGACCCAGAAAGGGGGTCTGGGGGCCAGGTAAGGCTGAGGCTGCCTGAGCCCCAATTGTGGGAAAGCCCCAGTGGGGCGTAAGACCTTGAAAAGGAGTCCTGAGGGCCAGGTAAGGCCGAGGCTGCCTGAGCCCTATTGAGCAAGGCCCCAGTGTGGATGACGCGAGGGCTCGGAGCAAGGCCCCAGTGGGGGCAACAGTAGGACTTATGGGTAGCCCCTAACGCTAGAGTGCACCGGGGCAACTGGCCATCAAGGCACCGTGTCAAAGCAAATAGAAAAGGCAGCCTCCCCTAAACATTTAAACCATCAAAGATGCAGCGGGCGAGATTGGTGAGGGTGCATTGACACCGGCTTGACACAGTAGCCAGGGGGTGCTAGGGGAGGTCACAGCACCCCTAGGTCGCGTTCCTGCCACAATCAGTCTTTCCTCTCTTTACGGTCAATGCACTAGGAAGCATTATGTTGTATTTGAACCTTTTTCTCAGTTTTGTGTGACAAGTTGCAACTGAGGCATGTAACGGGCAGATGTTTTATTCCTGGACCTACAGGGTAAAACTTTTCCATCAGCAACTAGTGTTGTTGCAACAAACAGTAACAACATCATGTGTGCCATTAAGGGACCAGGAAGCCATAAGGCCAAAAACTTAATGGTGATGTCATTAATGGCTGATGAAGTGCTAGTTTCATCAGAGTCTACTTCTATTTACTAGTGCCTGATTAACAAGGTGGAACAATGCAATAACCTCCTCAAACAGATTGGACCGGTTAAACATGTTCAAACCTTATAGTCAAGGAGACTAGTGACAAAGAAGATGTGCTTCAGTTCTAACTAAATCTAAAGTCTTATTTGGGGTTTGTTTGTTTTTTTACAAATAAGTCAGCTCCCTTAAAACATTGTAATCCTGTCATCAGTCCTTTCTGGGATTCCAAAGTGTTAGTATCAGGCAGGAACTTCATTTTTTAACTCAGTTTTGTCCAAGATTTTTACTTGCCTTTCTACATTAATTGAGACAGGTAAACTACTGCATTATTCTTTCAACAATAATCAGTACTATCATTTTGGTTTTGGTACATTTGATCAAGTAATGGGTTGATATTAAGATTGAATTATTTTAATCCTTCAAGATCCTAAGAGATACTAGTATCTTGCAGTTAGAACAGGAAGTTTGGGTTGTATTCTTGAATTATATCCCTGTGTGATCTTGAACAAGTAATTTGATCTCTTGATTTGAGTTTGCCTGTGCATAAATGAAAAATGAAATTGGGTGATAAAGTACTAAGAGACATTTTTTTTTTTTTTTTTAAATATTCACAGAGAAGGACCTTTGGGGTAATGGGCACATGTAATGATAAGGCATACTCCTTACCAAAGAAAGCTGTGAGCATGGTAGGGAAATATGTAAAAGTCTTGGGAATCTTATGGAAAAAGTGATATGACCCCATGTGGTAACAAAAGCTGGGGGGAGGACACAAAATTAAATCTGATCATTAAGTTTAGAAATCATTTGGATGTACCCTACCCTTCCTGAAGTGCTTAGTAGCATAATCTGTTAAGTGCCTAAACTTCTGTGAACGTATTCAGCCAACCTCTAGTTGCTACTGGTACACATTTTGGATGACTGAGGATCTAGGCTTTTTTTATGTTCTCATTACAGGAAGTGTAGGATTTCAACTATGGATATAGATGAAAGAGACTTTAGAAGATACGGTGAAGTTTTGCCCAAATACATTAGTGATGCATTAACATCGTTGTTGGAATGACTGAATTATAGAAGCTTTTACTCCACAATTTCCCCAGCAAAAAAACAATTAAGAAACAGTGTAAGATAAAAAATGAGCTTGCCATGTATAACAACATGCATCTGTTGTAAAGAGCCAAGCTTATTTGATGAGAGCACTGTAATTTAACTAAATTTGACATGACTTGCCCAATTAAAGGAATCAAGACTTGGCTTTATGTGGCACCTTGTTTTTGCATGCACTATGATTTTAACTCGGGTATTGTGCATGAAAAAATAGAGAGAAGACTTGCAAGAAAATATTTCTTGTTAGGAGCATGAGGTATACAAACACTGATTTGGGAGCTAAGCCAGGTTCTGGTGTATTTAAACTGTCCTTGGACTTGTTTACTGTAATTAAGCAAATGAAATGTGTTCTCTGGGAACATAAAACATTTGTATAGCACAGAGAAATATGTCAGCATACAGAAAAGCAAAGGCAAAAGCCTAGTGTTTCTGATCTCATGTGTAAACCACGTGGATCGGAGTCCTGGTCCCAAAGAACTCGGTGGCAAAACTCCAATGGAACTTCAGCAATGCAGGGAAGAACCAATGGGATTAACCTTCTAAGGCGTGGCACTGTCCAACTGTTCGGCTCAAGCATTTGGGCCTCAGCAAATGAGTGACATCAGAGCACTTGAGAGCTCCAGCTATTCTCACTATCAGAGCCATAGGCAGCAAGGCACAGTTTAGACCTGCTTGAAGGGAGCTCTAAACTGCAATGGGCTGAGGGGGATGGGGCTTGCAATGCTCCCAGTCAGGCCCAGCACTGAAGAGCTGCAAAGGCCACATAACAGCATCTTTCCTCACCTTTTATTCCCTGTGCTAACTCAGGGTCTAAGAATTCATTATTTTCACAACACATCCTACAGTACATTTGGGAGATTATTACAGAAGGCCAATGTAAGCAGGGAAAACTAAATTACCTTTGTCAAAAACATTAACAAAGTGCTTTTTATGATGCACCTTCTGGGTTTAACAGACATTTTGGCTCTATTAGTCTGGTCCTGAAATTATTAGGCACATCTTACAAAGGGATGTACACAAAGGCACCCCCCCCAAGATTCTTGCAGGATCAAGATCTTATTCTGAAAGGGATCTGGCAGTCACTAGAGTGATCTAGTTTATTTTCACTATACCACTTCCAAATTAAACATGTGAATGTACTTATGGGACTGACATAGTCTCAAAACCCTCTAGTGTTCCCCTTCCAACAGAAGGAAAATTGTTCTCTGCTTAATTAATTCCTCACACTTTAAAGTTAGTGCATCTCTAATGGAAGGGACACATACTTCATAAAATTTGGCTTCTCATCAGTAATCCTCCAGGTCTATTTTAACTAATGACATAATGATTATTTACTCAATAAATCCCAGGAAGCTTTAAATATGCTACCTCACAGTATTTCTAAAAAAGCAATGTACAGAACATGAAACCAGTCTTTACACCACTTTTTTTTCTCCAGCTAGTATAAAAGCTTAGCCACAGTCTACGGCAGTGATTCTCAAAGGGTATGCAAGACCAAAGGATGTGCGCTGTGGAAAATGATCCCTCCCTCCCTTCCTTCCTCTTTTTAGCTGGGGGCACAGTGTGCATGTAGCCTAGGGCACAAAGCAGCCTGCAGCAGAGCACAGCATGACTATGTCCACAGGGTGCAGCAGCAGCAGCATTTTAAAGATGTCTGGTCCTTCTGGGACAGCTCTCCAGCAGCTGGAAGCTGCATGCAGGCCCCAGCCAGGGCAGCAGGCTGGGAGAAGCGGCAGCAGCACTGGGACTGGACATGTGCAAAAGGCTGCTGTCATGCCCTGCCTGCACCCCAAGCTATGGCTGCTCTGGGTACTTGGGTGCTCAGTGCTGTGCTGTACTGTGTGCCCTGCTCTGCACTCATGTCCTGCCCCCTCGCCAGGCAGGCAGGTGTGGGTCCTCCCCTCCCTTCCCAGGTCCAGACAGGCAACATGGAGCCTTCTTGCTCACCCCTACCTTGATTGCAAGGGCTCCCTAGAGCTCAGCAAGTGTCCCTGTGTCTCGCTTCCCGCCCCAACTGTGCCTGCACCCTGGGGCTTCCCAGGGCAGCGTGGCATTTCTTTACAACCCCATCTTGGTTGCAGCATGCCCAGCAGAGAAGCTCCATGTGCCCATCAGAGAGGCTGCTGTCCCTGTTTACCCTGACCCTGCCTCCCCTGAAGAGGGCTTTCCCTACTCCTATGCTACTGACTTTCTCCCAGCCCACTGCTCCCCAGCTACAGTGCAAGTGCAACTTTCAGCCTCTGAGAAGCTGTGCTGGGCCCAGACACATGCAAACTGCGTTCTTGCAGCCACCTCTTTTCCCCACTGCCCTCTTCAGGTGTAAGAGTAAAGCATATTCCAGTTATCCAAAGTCTGAGAAACACTGGTCTATTGGATTAAAAGGCCAAGCTGTAATTTCTATGAAGTTTCTATTTCCACCAAGAAAGGTAAGCCCTTGGTGGAAACCATGCTTACTGTTCCTAATCACCTTTTCCTTCTCCAAGTACTTAGAAATGGATTCCTTGAGGACTTGCTTCATGATTTTTCCAGGGACTGAGGTGAGGCTAACTAGTCTCTAGTTCCCTGGATCCATCTCCTTCCCTTTCTTAAATATGGACTTATTTGCTTATTTCCAATCACCTGGGACCTCTCCTGATCACCATGGCTAAGTACAGACAGTCCAAAAGCTTGAGGCTGAATCGATTTAGTCTTTGTATGTTAGTCTAAGATGTGTAGATTAAACTGATAAGCAAGTAAATGGACATTTACTTTTGATTCTGGAAATGCAGCCACAAGCCTGCAGGGGCCCAGGCCAAAAACCAGATGGTGCTAGAGCATGTCTCCATGCTTGACTGGAACAGACAGCTTCGGCCAAGGCTAGCCTGCCCACTCTCTGGGGTGGGAGGGTTTGTGGGGGGAGGTGCAAAGCATCCTGGGATTCTGGGAGACTGTGAGTTAAACTGAATCTGGAGGGAATCTGGGATAAAAGTTCAATAAACTGACTTAACCTAAACCAGTTAAGTCTAATATTACATCCATCCAGGGCTATCTTAAACTGCTTTTGGCCTTTTTGAAAATGTTTTATGTGCACTGAACTTCTGTTGTGTTACAGATTTGAACCAGTGTCCGATTACTTATACTGGTTTATGTGTAATTTCTGTCCCTAGCCCGTGACTTTTCAGAGATAATGACCAGCTGCTCTTCCAGCAACATCAGCCAACTCCCTCAGCACCCTTGGGTACATGCATTTGACCTCATGGACACATCCAGCTTTTCCAAATACTTCCTAACCTGTTCTTTTGCAACTGTTGGCTGCCTACCTCTTCTGCAAACTGTGCTGCCAGATACAGTAATCTGCAAGCAGACCCTGCCTGTGAAGACTGAGGTAAAAAAGGCATTGAGTACTTCAACCTTTTCCATATCATCTGTCATTAGATTGCTGTACTTGAGGTCAGGCAGGAATTTTACCCCATGATCAGATATGGACAGTGTATGTGGGGGGGACTGGCTTTCTCTGTAGTGGTAAGCATGGCCCTCTATCTGGGATCTTTTGAGTATATATTGACAACCCTTTACACAAGCAAGATATTGGCTGTCATGATTCCCCTGCTTTACTGTGGGTCCTTCGTATTCTACGATGTGAATACAGATAGGGCTCAAAGGCATGATCTTGCTTCTATTTTTTCCATCTTGGACAGGATGTAAAAAATAGTCTTCTGTAGGTAGCTTTCTGCAAGCCCAAGGTAAAGAAATCAAAATTTTTTCATTTTAGTGCTTCTATACAAGATTGATCTGCCTTAGTTCACAACATTCTCATTTTCCTCAGAGTAAAATGTACTTCAAAATGCACTCATTCTCATGATCGAAGGTTCACTACTGAACCTGTCAGTGAATGTGTTAGGGAAGTAGATTAATTTGTGGCTTGAATTTTCATGAGGGAGACATGACTGACATGGCTGAATTCATAGAATCTTATTGTCTTTGGTTAACAAGGTGTGTAAACATTTCCTTCCCCTTTGATTTTCCAGCAGGGGAACATAGAGAGAGGAGAGAGACAGGAATTCGTAGATGGCATAATACCTTTAGCAATCAAGAAATGTAATTCCTCTTAGTGATGCACATTTTTCTTTCTAAACTGCTGCTGCTTACCATTAGGTATATCTTCATGCAGATAAGCGATGCTTTTTGAGCCTGACACACATTACACTTAAGACATGATTAACCAGTTAGTCATGATTTACCATGCACCCCCTGTGGCTGGGAGCTATTAGCTGATGAGGCTCCCAGCCACAGGGTGCTCCTGTGCCTGGGAGCCCTGTCACCTGGTGCTGGCTTTCAGCCACAGGGGCGCACTATACACTCCTTCAGCTGGGAACCTGGATCAGCTGATGGGGCTGCCAGCCGCAGAAGCTTGTTATCCATCAGTGCAGCAAGAGCCCAGGATCGTGATCCTAGGCTCCCCCTGTACCAGCAATAAGGTGTGATGGGATCTGATGCTCAATGTCACAATCATGCCTCTTGCAATGCATGTGTGCATGGCAGGAAGCATGAATGTAGGGACTGCGTATTATATCCTATTGTGCCTTTACTTGCACGTCTGCCAGGGGCTTTGTACTCCACAGGCCATCTGTTCAAATCTGCATCTCATTAGCACCCATGCCCACTTGAAACTGGCATACCATTGTGTAGAGAGACATAGTTAGCTGTATTAGTCTGAAGTCAAGTAGAAGCAAGGAAGATTTGTACCTTGTAGACTAACCAAAGTGCATATATACAGACACTAGATTTTACATGTGTATGTGTATGCATGCTGGACTGCTGCAATCAGCACAGCAGGAACTGGCACTGCCCCCTGTATTGGCACCTGTCACAGGCACAGACCTGCCCAGCTATGCCTCTACAAGAGACAATCCCGGAACTTGATATTTATTTTAGAAGAATGTATATGTATGTGTGTGTGTATATATTGCACACTCGCATACACACATTCTTCTAACATACACACTCTTCTAAAATAAATATCATATATATATATATATATATATATATATATATA